CAGCCTGGTTTTACACATTATCTGTGAGGTCCAAATCTGCTGCGTGCCTCGCCTGCTTGCTCAGGCATCCGCGTGGTAACCTTCTTCGGGTTCTCTAAAGCCCCGCCTTAGCACCTCTCCCGTAGTCCCGTTCACGGACAAAGGAGGCCAGGCCTTGTGGTGCGACAGGCGATCCAGTAGAGCTCAGAACAGAACCGCAACGAGTCAGGAGTGAGATTGCATCCCAGCAACCCTCCTGTAAGAGTTCAGCTGAGATTGGAGGTTGATTGAGATTTCTGGTTTGGGTTAGCGTGGGTGTTTCCCGTGCTCGGCCTTCGAACCGCTTCCTCAGTCCCTCATCCCAGCTGGAGACTGCCTCGGCAGCACAGCACAACGATCCAAAAGAAACAACAAATCGCATCGGCTCTCAGTGTGCCAGCCAGGGGGTTCTGTGTCGTTCTTCCTGGGTTGACATTGAATATCGGGTGATCGAGAGGGTTACCCAGCTGAGCCTTCAGGGATTGACATTGGGACATTGGATAATCTAGAGGATTGTCTAAGCAGAGCCTTCAGAGGAATAGCGAACTTCAATCTACCTGTGTTCGTTATCTGAAGGCATCCCGATTGTTTTCTTCTCTGCTGTATGAGTGGCCGCGGGGCTACTACGCCAGAGGAGAGATTCGCTCTCAACGCTGCGCTCCTGTTGGCAGCTGAGAAACGCGGAGGATCCGGCTCATCTGGGAGGGCCCGGAGGAGTTTGCACTTGAAGATTGTGGGTGGCTTTGCTTCTGAGCTGCGTGGACTCGCGGCACTTGATCAGGCAGACCGCCAGAACTTGGAGACGGCCAACGCCTATATTAATTGGCTAGAGCAGGGTAATACCCCTGATCGGTTTGATCCTTTGCCCACTTTCCTTCCGTCTTCTGGTCCGACACTGTTTCCGCGGTCTTTTGCGCCGGCACCTACTGCCCCCGAGACCCCTCCTCCTGCTGATCTTGTCCCTGAGACCCCTCCGCCTTCTGGTCTTGAGTCTCCTGGTGTATCTTCTGCTGCTCCTAGTGGGCCTTTGGTTACGCCTCGCGAGCCGCCGTTTCCACCTCCAGCACGCCGTGCCTTGGGTGGTGATTCGGATTCGGTAAGGGGTGTAACTTCCGGTAGAGGGACTCTTCCGGGCGGTAGGTTACGACCTCCCACGCCCCCTAAACCCAGAGGCATTTCACCAACTTCGGCGCCTGGACTAGCTCCGTTTGTCCCTATCGGGACTCGAGTGACGGTTACATCTGCTAACCCTCTTCTTCGACAGCCTAAGCGGGCCCGATTTGAGGAGGCTGCCGCGGAGGTTCTTGATCCCGTCGAGGAGGCGGTAGCGGAGGTTCTTGATCCCGTCGAGGAGGCGGTAGCGGAGGTTCTTGATCCCGTCGAGGAGGCGGTAGAGGAGGTCCCACGGCCATTGGTCAGGCGTAGTGTTCGTTTCAGCGAGTCTTTATCAATCAGACAAATCGCGAACTGGATACAGCTTGAACGGGCCACACGTGTGGTATCGCTTGACTGTCACTTGGTGTTAGATCGCGACTACGCCGCGAGTGCCACAGCTGTGCAACGCATCTTAAGCACGTATTCCGACATCAGCTTGGTGGTCTGCTCTTTCGCTGTAACATCTTCCACCAAGGCCAAAGTGAGGGACAGCGTGCGTCGCGTTGTCGAGGGGCTGGACCCATCTTCTTTCGTTGGCGCTCCGGAGCGGGTGATTTCTTTATTGATTACATCTGCGAAGGTTGGCAACAACGGTAAGGGCGATCGGCTGTCCGCTTTGGCACGGAGTGGTGGGTTGCGATTCATCACGTGGACGACCAGGATCCCATCTGTCGCGATATTTCGCGTTACCCGGGCTGTACCGGTTATTGTTGGGAGCCGTCGGACAGGCGCAGCCTCGACCACGTGCTGTGGTACGACCTTCACATCTAAAACGGGACTGGGGCAGACTGCAAATTCCGTGGGTTCTAGTGTTGAGGGTCAACTTTGAAGGTTGGGGTGAAGTATTTTTACAACCCTTAGACCTCGGTTGAACCGCTGTTCCCATAATGCCTCTAGCATCACAACTGGGATTCGAGGAATCCTCACTGGAAATTTCATCGTCGAGCACACCCCCTAGGGCCCAAGCACTTAGCGTGCGCCCGGAGGCAGCTAGACAGTCGGATTCATCAAGTTCGGGACCGATTCGGAGGAACCGGGCTAGATCATTGTCGTATGGACCCGCATCGAGGTCTTCATCCCTGCAACCGGCACCAACCTTTGCAGCGAATGTTGGCCCTGCCCGTAGTCAGAACCCAACCGGCCCGAACACGAGCCATCAGGAGTTGCACTTGCATCAACATGCCCATCGGCAGCAGGTCCTTCAGGTTGGGGTTGACCCGGTAACCCATGCGAACATGCAATCCGAAGCAACATCAGCCATCATGAACGCCAGAGCTGAGACAGCAGCCGTGTTTGGCGAAGCCGAAGCAGTGATTCAGTCTCTAAGATCAGAGAACCAACAGCTAGGTGCCCAGACCGCTGCGATTCAGGGTGAGTCGTATGCCGCCATACAGGCGCTAAGGTCCGAAAACCAGCAGTTGGGTTCACGCGCTTCGGTAATTCAGGGTGAAGCTGAAACGGTGATTGGAAACCTCCGAACTGAGAATCAACAGTTGGGGGAGATGAACCGTGAGCTCAACCAGAGGCTCGAAAAGCAAGCTAAGATGATCCTTGAGCAGCAAGAGTTATCTAAGGCTATGCATCAGCAGCTAATCGCGCTTCAGTCGCATGTGCAAGCTGCCGAACCAAAGAACCCAAGCATCCCTTCATCGGCTATCCCCGCGAGCTCTACCCAAAATGGCGCGGATCAGGCTGCGTCTGCATTCAACGCATTGCAGGCACTCGCGGGTGAAGTTGGGGGAACAATGCGAAGGATTGAACAAGCAATTGAGGTAGCCCTTAGTCCCAAAGCCAAAGCAAAGAAGCAGAAAGCTAAAGCCGAGGCTACGGTTAGGGCCATTGCACCATCAGTTGCGCTGCCGATCCCAGCTAAGGCTTCCGGTTCTAGCGGTTTCGTTGCTCCTAGTCCGGTTGAGTTTGGGGTACCACCGTATCAATGCAGTCGTAAGAACATCTTCACGGGTAGATTGCATTCCGCAACACCCGCACATCCTCCTCCTCCTCCACCACACTCTGCACCGCAGAAGCTCAAGCCTCAAGTCTTCGACATAGCAGATGAAGATGACTTTGATGAGCATGGTGAAGATGAGGATGATGAGGGCGGAGAAGATTTCGAGGATGATCCAATCGTCCCGGTTGCGGCTCACGAGCCCGAGGATGACAGAGATTACGAGTCTAGCATTTACAAGTACAAAGACCTGAAAGACATCAAGCTTCCCCAAATTCCGGGTTCCAGCGTTGAGTTCAGGGCTTACCGCAATTCGGTGTTAACACAGATCGCGTCAATAGATTGCAGCGGCAAAGCCGTCCTGTTGAAGTGGCTTCAAAAGAGCTTAGATCCATCAGGTAGCATTGCATTGACACGGTCGCTTCAGCGGGATTGTGAGGGTTTGCCTAGACTTGATGGGTGGATTTCCGCGTGCATCAGTGATGCGAAACACCTAAAAGGTGAATGGGGATTGCAAGCGCAGTCGTACTTGGAAAGGTGTCATGCGTCTGGAACGATGCCATCGGGTCGTGCCCTCCTGTCCATTCTTAGCAGAAGATACCGGATAGATAAAGTGCGCGGGCCATTGGTGACACTACAATCCTTGTTCGATTTAGAACCTGACTCATTCTCCTACCAATCGCTTGTAGCCTTCAAACAACGCGTCGAGTACGTGTTGAATGGCTTACCGGAGCGGCAATGGCCAGACGCCGAAACAATGTTTTCATGGATCTACTCACGGCTAAAGGGGTGCAGGATGCTGTCACGCACCATTGATCGGGTCAAAGATGCCAAGCCGGGTTCCAAGCGTAGGACATTTGAGTACATTTGGAATGGGCTAGAAGAGGTTCTTGCAGAAGTGCGCGAGGATCGAAATGAGCAAGCGCTAAAGGATTCGCTCAAAGAGGATTCCAAACAAAAGCAGAAACCAGATGCCAACGCGAAAGCGGCTGCGGCTAAGGCTACGCCCGCCGCTCCTGCTGCAAAGGCAAATGCAAAGTCTAAGGCCAAAGGCCAAGGCAATGATAAGCCCCCGAAGGCCCCGAGCAAAGCAACTCCAGGAGTCCCCGACGCCAATCTTGGTGCCGGTGAGGGTGCTGATAAGGGCAAAGGCAAAGGTAAAGGGAAGGGCGGGGGTAAGGATAGCAAGGCTAAACCTCAGAAACCTCCAGCTGCAAAGGATTCGTCAGCAGGACAATCCGGCCAAAGGCCAGCGTGCTTCTTCTATCCGAAAGGAACATGCACTAGGGGAAAGGATTGCCCTTTCGAGCATGTAGATGCACCAAAGAAAGCTGCTCCATCAAAGGCCGCCCCAAAGGTGCCTGCCGGAGTCGCCATGTTAGCAGCCGCGTCGACGGGCGCGAGCGCATGCAACATCCCTTCATCATTTGTCCGCGGTTTCAAAGCCACATGTCGCTTGATCACCGCTCCCTTTCGTGTGTTTGCCCGCTTTGCGGCAGCACTTTCATTTGCATTGCCCGCAACCGTGCATCATTCGCATGATCGCATTGCCGCGACAGTCAGTAGACCTAACTGTTCAGGGGGGTCGTACTTCCTTGATTGGGTTGCTGATTCTGGGGCAGGGAGAAGCCTGCTAAGCCAATCCGCGCTTGCAGATCAGGGCATTTTGACTGATATGTTCAGCGATCACATCCGGTCAACCAAGCCGTTGCAGTTTGAAACCGGGAATGGTGTGACGAGCAGTGGCACCTTCCTTACTACAACGAGCGATGCCTTTGGATCAGTAGAATCCTATGTTCTACAAAGCTGCCCGGTAGTGCGGTCTTTAGGCCAACTAGTAGAGTTGCAGCGAAAACCTTTTGTTTGGCTTCCCGGTAGCATGCCGTTCTTCGGTACAAGCGAAGATTGCGTTCAGATCACTTGGGATTCGGATCGTGTCATCTATGCCCATAAGGTCGATGATTATGTTCCGGTATTTCGTGAGCAGATAAGGTTTGGTGGTGACGGTTTGCATCGAGCCTTAGCCGCTGGTGAGTCTGCCCCGGCAGCCCCAGCAGAGGTTCCTGCACCCGCTGTCCCAGCAGAGGACCCTCCTCTACCACCTCCCGTAGCACCCCCTCCAGCTGATCCAGGGGAAGGTTCCGGTGCCGACGATGAGGGTGATGAGGATGCACCAACCAAGGCTCAGCGGCTAATCACTGAAGCCCAGAGTCTAGAACATCGCTTAACGCATATGCCAAAGAACCCATACTGTGATGTTTGCAGTCGGAGCCGAATGCTAAAGAAGCGAACGGCAAGGACGCGCTATGCAAGGTGTGATGATGAGTTAGATCCGGTTGACGAGTTCGGCCAACGGATAGCGGCTGACTTCATCATAGTGCACAAAGACTCTAGAAGCACTGAAACCGTCGTTCTGACTGTGAGAGATGAAGCCACAGGGTACATAAGAACATTCCCGTTAGTGTCTAGGCACGAAGACGGGGTGGTACGATCCTTATTATCCTTCCTCGGTAGGCGCGCTTCTGGACCTTGTGTATTGTTTAAAAGCGACAATGCACGGGAGCTCCTCGCAGCATGTGCGACGTTGGGGTTTACTTCAGAGCCAAGCCTTGAGCGGAGATGGCCTCACAATTCAGTCCTTGAACGGGAAATCCGGACAATTGAGGAGTGTTCGAGGGCTCTTCACATTGCGGCAGGTTTTCAGTTGCATTCGGGTCTTTGGGTCCATACTGTCCGCTATGCGGCACACACCATTAATCTCTTCCACCCTGCGGTTGGGATTGAGGGTAGCCGGTATGTAAACGCGGTTGGATCCGAGTTTGGTGGCATGAAATTACAACTTGGTCAGCTGGTCTACTACAGACTTGACCCGGCATATCGTGAGAAGTTTCAGGCATCAGCAGCGCCAGGGGTGTTTGCAGGTTGGCGGTTCGATAGTGGTCCATCATCTTTCAGAGAAGTCTATCACGTGTTGGACTATGGTAAGCTAAAGAACCGTGAACCGGGGTACGAAAAGGCGATCTCCGTCCCTAGAGAGGAGATACATGTTCCCCGCGGTAATCCCATCCTTCCGATGTTCACCGCTGCAGAAGCTGCTTTGTCTAGTTTCACGAAAGCCGAGTATGAAGCCATCGAATTCCTTGATGTGCCGTTCAGCACGGTGGCACCATCAACACCTGTGGCAAAGCGCCACGAGTACATCACTTTAGATAGGCTCATGCGACTAGGCGCAACACCTGGTTGTAAGGCCTGCAAGTTCGATGGAACAGTACACACACCAGTATGTAAGGCAAGATTCGATGGTTTGATTAAAGCCGAGAAGATTGCTGCGAGCAAGTCAGTCAGAGACGCGGCACCGCCCGATGTCGAGCGCCCTGATCCTTCGGCGGAGTCTGCACCCGCAGCCCCCGAGGGTGATGAGGATGCCCCAGAGCGCGCGAGCTCCTCTGCTGGCCCACGAGCTCCAGCTGGTGTTGTGGTTCAGTCTTCTGAAAACAAGGTTTCAACAGGTGAGTTTGGTTTGAGTGCAAGGTTTCTCGCAAACGAGAGAGCGCGCAACAACACCAGAAGGGTTAAGGAACTTCCAGGGGAAAATGTTCTGATCGAGTATGGTTGTGAAGACGAGTCTGAGATAAGTAACGCGTGTGAGCGTTGTAAGGTTCATTGTGTTAGTCTTTCCCAGTCAACGCTGGATTTGACTTCGCAGGATGACATGCAACAAGTCGTTTCCCAAGCAATCCCAGGTGTAGATGCTTGGTTCACCATACCTTGCACGCATATGTCTTCGCATCAAGCCGTACATCGTGAATCCCAAAGCCCTAAGTACGCGCGCAAGATTGCACAAAGGCAAGCCACATCTAAGCGAATGTTGGTTTTGGCCCTTAATGTTGCCGATCATGTCATTGAGCAGGGGGGTCGAGTTTCGTTCCAGTGGAGTTCGGATTCAGGGGTGTTTAGGCAGCCTGAGTGGATCGACTTCGCATCGAAACACGAGCTTTCCAATGTAGCCTGTGTTAGTGGCAACAAGGCCATCACCATCGCTTCAAACTCTAGGCGAGTACTGGAGCACTTCGCAAAGGTGTCAACAAAGGAGTCGTCAGAGATTAATGCAACCAGCATCAAGGCATATGAGTTTGCAGATCTCGTGATACAATCCTTGTTTCCCCAGCGGTACTTCAAAAGTGTCCCCAATCTTGGTAAAGCGAGCGCGCTTATTACCAAGAATCTCTCCCGCCGAGAATGGCAAGCTGAGCCGAAGGCGCTCGAGGCCATCGCTCAAGAAGCAGAGGGATTGCGCCGAAATGGCACATGGGATGACACAACAGCCATGCCACTGCATGAGCTGAGAAGTCAGGCCAGGTCTCAGGGACGCAAGCTTCGCGTCGCAGAACTGATGACCTTGTGCGGGGTAAAGCATGCCGAACTTGCACCTGAATTTCAAAAGTTCAAAGGGAGAATTGTTTATAGAGGGGATAGGGTTTTGGATGAGTTTAACAATCTGGTTTTCTTCGAAGAGACCAGTACGACTCCAACGGGGTTAATAGCCTTGAACGCCTCCCTCTTCTGGGGTTGCTTACCGGAGCACTCTGTGTCATGCTCTGACGCAATCCAAGCATACCTCCAATCTGAGCTTAAAGAAGAGACATACGTAATCCTGCCAAGGGAGTTGTGGCTCCCTGGTTGGGAGGAGCGTTTTGGAGCGCAAGCGCGAATAGTCGTTCGACTTCGCAAGAGCTTGTACGGCCATCCACAGGCCGGACGGCTCTGGCAAGAGTATTTGTCTAGGATTTTGATCTCATTAGGCGGAAAGGAGTCCCAGGAGTTTCCAAGCAACTGGTTCTTTGAGTACAAGGATGGGGTTCTCATCTTAAACATTTACGTCGATGACTTGAGTTTGTGCGGATTAACAAAATTGCACACGCCATTTTGGCAAGCGTTGAGGGCGAAGGTCAAACTTGATCCCGAGTGTTTCATAGGTTCTGAGGGTGTTCGGATCTTAGGTAGACTGCATTGTCGGTACGATGAACCATCGTCGACCACAATGGCTTTTAGGATGCCTGAGTATGCTGAGCAGATTGTCCAAACCTATTGCGAGATCACCGGGACAACGCCCGACAAGCTTCGTCGAGTGAACACGCCCTGCATCGCTGAATCGTCAATGACCGACGAGGATATCTCAGCGCAAGGCGAGCTCCACGATTCAGCATCACGCATCTTGATGCGCTGTTTGTGGTTAGCTCGTCTCTGTAGAGCTGACATCGCATTTGCTGTAACTCGCTTAGCTTCCAGGGTCACTCGTTGGACCGCCTGGGAGGACAGACAAGTGCTCAGACTTGTGTCGTACATTCATCACACTAGAGATGTTTGCATGAATGCCAGTTGCTCTTGGGATGCTGCTCCCGAGCTACGGGTGTATACAGACGCTGACTTCGCAGCCTGTCCCTACACTTCACGTAGCACGTCCGGGATTGTAGTCCACATAGGCACAGGTCAGCATGCATTCCCTGTGATGTGGCAAAGTCGCAAGCAAACGTCTGTTGCGAGGTCGACGCCAGAGGCCGAAATGATCTCAATGGCATCAGCCATGTTTTCAGAGGTCATAAATTTGCAGACGTTCTTACAGTCAGCCTTCAAAAGCACAGTGCCGATCATCTTCTTCCAAGACAATGAAACTGTCTTGGCCATCCTGAAGTCAGGATACAGTCCTAAGCTTCGCCACTTAGGGCGCGTGCACCGCGTGAACGTGGCAAGTATGGCAGAGATCTTTGAGCAAGAAGAGTTTTCGGCTACTTACGTGAACAGCAAGGAGCAATTAGCTAATGGTTTGACTAAGATCATCCCTCCTGCTGAGTGGTCTGATATGCTCACACAGTTGTGCCTTCACGAAGGTGTCCCTCACAGTGCGACCGTCTCAAAGGTCGTAGCTGAGGAAGCAGAGCGTTTTGCAAGCTCACTGCCTAGAAAGATCACACAAGAAGACCTTGTGCAGCTTTTGTCGTACTTGCCAGGGGAGAGCGCCGTGCGCCCCTCTGCAAGTGAGGCAATGTGCTTCACCACCGGTGCGTTCGCGCACGGAGGTGGGATCGCAGGTTTAAGGCAAAATGTAACCCTCTTCCCAGTAGTCACTGCGGTTTTGTGCAGGTTCATCCGTAGGGTGTTGCCTAAGCATAAGTTTACGGCAGTGATGTTGGCCAAGAATCAAATTACTTTGACTCATAAGGATTCTTACAACGAGCCATGCAGCAAGAACGCTGTAATCCCACTTGAAGTGTTCGAGGGGGGCCACGTGTGGGTGCAGTCACAAGACGGTGGCTACCCATGCCCAGACCTCAGTCGAGGTGAGAAGGGCGAGATCCTTAAATGGCCAGCGATCTTCGATCCAAGACGGTTACATGCGACGACCCCTTGCACGAAGGGTGACAGAATCGTCATAATTGCCTTCACACCTAGAAACGTGAGCAGGCTGCCCGTCGACAGCCAGCTGAAGCTGCGAGAGCTTGGATTCCACTTCTAATCGGAGTGGCTATTCCACCAAGTAGGTAGTCTGCGTAACTAAGTTCAGTGTAGCGTTTCACGCTGTCTTCAAGGGGGGAGTTAATCATACTCGAGCCCCAGGCCCTTGCATGATGTAGCTAAGAACGTACTACAAGAGGTAGATGAAGAGCAGCTTGAAAGACGCACACGAACGTGATTTGGCTCAAGTAAAAGAAGCGCTTTGAGTGCTTGCTTTTGCTTGTCTTGTAACACGACGGGTTTACTTCGTGTTCAACTTCATCTTCACAAGAACCGCTGCAAGAAGTGAAAGAAACTTTGCTGGGTTCCTCACTTCAGTAGTGCAAAATAATGGGTCCAGAAACCTTACTCTAATTCTCGAGGCCCTCTCGGGCTTAGGATTTAGGGTTTAAGGTTTAGGGCTTTGGGTTATCTAGGGTTGACGGCTCAGGATTGCAAGACAGTGCCTTTGCAGGACCTTGGCGGTGCGTTTGGCATGGGCGCGATAGGAGGCAGCCTGCACGCAGTCATCACTTGGAGAAGGAAGGCTCTTGATTTGACGTGTAATTCTTGCTGTACATACACCAGGAGTACATCAATTCTTAGTAAGTTCACACTTATGTCATCTCAGAAGGGCACGGCTTGTAAGGAGTGCGCGGTTGTCCGTTATCAGGATAGGTCCGTGAACCCTTGTCTGACTCCTTCTCTCTAAACCTTAAACCCTACCTTAACACCTGAAACCTTAATCCTGTTTTGGATTCCTTATTGTGATTCCTTCCTGTGTAAACCCTGAACAATGCAGGGTTTCTGAGCCCTATCGCTGAAACCCCTCGTGTCTAAGGGCCCCGATGCATGATCCCCTGGCAAGCCACCCTAGTTTCCCGTGTTATTTCAGTTCATGTTCTTAAGGCTTCATTGTAGAAGACTTCTAGACCTTCCATCCCTGACTTAGAGTACCCGATCGGCTAGGGACATCTTTCTTGAGGCTTCGCTGTCCTGCGAATGCTCACTCGGCCCAAATCACAGGGACCCTTAGAGGAGTACGGGGAGGCGGGTAGGGGATTATGCTTCCTTAAATAGGCCGCATTAAGCCCTTATTGTAGGTATGCAGGCCTCCTACCCCCCTAAGGATCCCTATAACCAAAGATCGCAGCTTCCCAGGCTTCATCTGGCATTTTGTGAAAGGAGCCAGAAATTCTCCACAGGGCGACAGGCCAGCGCACATACTTTCGGTTTTGGGCTTGCGAGTCAGCGAAGTGTCTGGCAGAATTCTCAAATTCTGATCCTAGACCCTAGACACATTAAGCCTAAGAACTACGCCCTCGACCCGCAACCCCAGACCCAGCAAAACTCAACCAAAACCTCTGCTAGTTCCAGCTGCAGCTTTGATGATGTCAGGCAAGAGTTAAGGACTGAACCAGGGCAGTTTCGGGTGACCCTGTCTTCGGTCTTAGTTTGAGGTGAGATGCATACAACACAATATAAGAAAGTAAAATGTAGTATAATATGGTTCAACATAATGTGATGTAATCTGGTATAAAATTGTATTCGTTGCATCACGATGTCCCCCTTCTTGCAGTTCCTCCAACATCTCAGCTAAAACCAAGGCATTGGTACACTACTATAGGGGCCCAGATAGTTAAATAGGATTCCTTCAAAGGGATCTTGTAAAGGGTTCTATAAGGGTTACTAGAAGGGCTACTATCAGGGGTTAGTATAGGGGCATTAGCTTTGTGATCTCCTGGTCCTCACCCAATTTGAAACCCTACGAGCTACTTATCAGTTCAATCGGTAATGAACGTAAAACTTAGACAATACTCTGATGTGAATTCTTCAGACCCTTGTAGACCAATCTCCTCAGACCTTTATGTAATATTCTTCACAGACCCTTATACTTATACAATACTTGGAGGTTCATGGGTACGTAGCTACACTTAGGGTTTTAACTAGGGTAACTATACTTATCACCCTCATTCGGGGACTACTAACCCTACTTATAACTACCCCTGAACCTTATAGATACCCTGTAGTAGCCTTTAAAAGCACCCCTTTAACTACCCTAAACCCCAAATCCAAGCAGCCTCGGTCCTGCTCTCTGCAGGATGCAAGGAGCCCTGTACAGCGCGCGGAGCAGGCCACGAGACCCGAGTCTGAGGTTTGTCTGGGGTTAAGATTTTGTTTTGGGGTGTAGGGGTTTAAGGTTTAGGGCTTAGGGTTTAAGGTTTAGGGTTTAAGTTCTTAGGGTTTAGGGCTCAGGGTTTAGGGTTTTGTATTGGGGTGTAGGGCAGTGCAGGGGCTAACTCTTCATCAGTTAGTTTCCTGAGGGCTGTTGTCTCAGTGCTTATGTTCAGAGTTTCGGGTTGAAGGTTTCAGGGGTTGAGGTTTCCGGTCGGGTGCGTCTCTTTCGAGAACCAGAGGAGTCGAAGGCATGGGGGAGACCGCACGCGTGACAATGATTGCTTCATGTTTCCCCTTTCTTTAGTGCAGCCCCGAAACTCGTCCTTAAGGCCCTTTCTTACTATTTTCTGTTGACCTAAATCATAACATGTTTCCAACCCCGTGCTGCTGGGAGAACTTGGTGTTCAAAGCAAAGCTTAACAAGTGAGATGGTATCCGGATAGCGAGATCGAAATTTGGATTCCAAGGCTGGTGCCGCGGGAAATTTGAACCTCATGGTACGCAAGTCAACAGGCTTTAAGCTGGCAGAAAATGTTGCCGACGGATGCCTAACCCCGAAACAGCTTTTACCCCCCAAACCCATCGGTCCTCCCGCAATCCCAGCATCCCCAACGAAAAAACCGAAAGCTTTAAAACCCGAAACCCTAACCCTCCCAGGGCACCAATTCTCGGAGGGAACTTTGCAGTGTGGGCTGCGGCCTCGGTCTGCAGTGGGGTAGGTTCTCCGGCAAATCGTTAACTCGTGTAAAAAGAATGTACGTATTATTTATGAAGAGCACTAACCGTCTTACTATTCTTAGTATTACTAGTACGTACTAGGAACAACTATTTATCATGCTTAGTACCCATGGTTGCTCGGAGACTTCAAAGTGCGCCACGAGCTCAAACCCAAACCCCAAACTCCTAGCTCCGCGGCCTGGTTTCTGGCCTAAGCCTAAGCGCCGTAAGGTGATGAAGTGTGCTGGATTGGTACGAGTCGGGTGATGTTGTCAGGGTGCTTCCATCGTGTTGTCAGGTGCTTTAGGAGGGCTTGGACGTTTACAAGGGTTTGTTGCAAGGTTTAGGCTAAGGTTGATTAAGGGGATTCCGTCATTAGAGTAGGGTTTTACGAGAAGTTGCCTAGTATCGGACTTGATGGATGCGCCGGGGACTAGCTTTTGTATTGTTTTGCCACAGAGAATGACTTGGGTTGCGGCCCCTCGGCTCCTGGAAATCCAATTCCTGCAATCCGAGATCATAGAAGCCCTAAACCCTACCAGCTCGAGCCCAAAAGCTTGAAGTTCCAAAGCCATTGGAACCTCTGAACCCTGATGCCTTCCAGGGTGGAACCTTCTCGTCCTTCGATTGCTCCCTCCAGTACGTTCGCAGGCCGGTCGTCGTCACTGAAGTTTTGGGCCCTGGCTGGGATGCCTACGAGCCCGTCACCCTCAGAAACCACACCCGTAAGCCCGAATAGAATGCTTGTAGAACCCCTTCAGAGCCGTGGTCTTTGTCAGATCTCTCTGCACCGAATTCGATCCTTCCATCTCGGGCAGGAATGCGTGGACTTAGGATTTGGGAGGTGGGTCTAGGAGTCCAGGATGTCGTTCTAAAGGGGCCAAAAGCAATTAGCATGATGTTCCTTTAAGTTCTTCAAGGATTTCATCAGGGTTTAGGGATTTCGCGACAGTAATACCTAGGAGTTTAGGTTTAGGTTTTACCATAAGTAGTAGAATGCGTAGACTGCGGAACAGTAGGAATAAGCATGCGAAGGAGCTAGGATTTGGCCATCCTTCCCATTCCTGATTAAAATACTATGAATAGTTATAAGTAGGGTTATAAGTTCCATAATATCAGGTTATGACAAGAGTTACATTACGTAAAACCCTCAGAGATATCTGCGCATGAACCTAAACCCTAGTGTAAACAATCTTCGGTATAGTCCAGACTGCTAATATAGGGGCCTCAATGGTTGCCGATACTATTGTGGAGTTCCTTATTATTATACTTATAGTATAATGGGCCCCAAAACCCTATTCTAAGGCCCCTATATTTGACTGAAGTGTTCAATCCCCAACCTAGCCCAAAACCCGAAAGCGCCAGGCCTAAACCCCAAAGCATAAAAAGAAACAACTAACCCAAAAATCCTATAAACCCTAAACCAAACGTATAAAAATAAAACAACATTAACCCAAAAATCCTATAAACCCTATAAACCTCAGTGCCTCCACCCGAAGGCAGGATGATCACTGGAATGCCATTGCATCGGGGTTCTTGACCGGTGGGGCCAGGGACCTGGTTTACGAGGGCTCCCAGCTTGTAACATCAGGGGCGGGGGTGGGGACCTTAAGAAGTAGAAATACTGGCTTTCATGGTGTTTCGTGAAGGCTGTGTAAGGTTTTTATCGGGTCTTAGAAAGATAAGTAGGATGGGCTATGTTGAGGTAGGTTATACCTCCCAACTCTATGAGGGAAGCCTGATGAAGCATTTTGCTACTTATTCAGCCCCTGCATCAGGGTCCTAGCCTTAGGGTGTTAAGACCATGGGGGATTATGGTTGGGGCCAGGGAGTTTGTTATGGGCTTTGGGGTCGGGTTCACTTTTGGGGTTTAGCCCTGCGGTGCTTTCTGGTTTAGAGAATTTCGGGCGCCAGAGGTTGATTCTACAAGAGCTCAGAAGCCCTTCACCCCCCGACCTTGCAACAAAGGCTACTTAAAGCCCTGCAAATCCTTACCCCGAGATGCTGAAATATCGAACAAGCCCCCACAAATATTGAACCAAAAGGCTTCTCCTAAAAGTCTGAAGACAGTCTTCAAATCAGAACAGTTGAAGCTCCTGCAGCCGTTCTGAAGCCAAACTTGGAGGGATTGAATAGGCTTGCGTGCTGCAACGTCACTTTACCCGGTATGGTCGACGTTTATGTTTGCTGGCATCAATCCTGCTGTTGCTGTTGCTTCAACCATTGTCACGGTGGCGTTCGGACGAGAAGGATCACTGCCAATATTCCGCGGCTGTGAGCTCCCACAGCGCACGAATCCCAACTCCTTAAATAGCCTTGTCGAGACCCTGCAACCAGGAATGTTAAACATGGGAGTTGGTTGTATACGAGTTTCCTTAACAACAGTAAGGACAGGGTCTTCGTGTCCATTATTATACCCTTCACGTGTTCATCTAGACTCTTCTAGACCGAAAGGCTTGATGCTTTGGACCACCGTGCCGTCAGGGATCCATGTAACTACATGGTGCATAGCATATACTTTGGGCCCAAAGTCCCCAACTTGAAACCCTAAGTCCGAAAAGCCCAAAACCCTGAACGGTAAAAAGGGACCCCTGTTAAGGCGTCTCCTTCCCAGGTGCTTGCTGCGCGAGGCGGCTGGAAAGCTGCTAGCCGCAACGCCGTTATCGGTCGAGCCGACTCAGTTCCTGATCTTGCGAATTTAGGGTGTAGGCTGATACTGCTACTGAGGATGTTCTTAACAGGCTCGTGCTGACGATGGTGGCGATGATGATGATGGTGGTGATGATGGTGATGATGACGATGATAAAGATTATGATGACGCTGATGGCGATGATGATGATGATGATGATGCTGATGATGAGCTCGCTCAGGTAGCTATACTGTTAGGGCCCCTATATGATGGTATCCTTACAGTAACCACCATAGTAACCCTTGCAGGGCCTTTAAAGGAACCCCTTCAGTATGCCCCAAACCTCGACTCTAATCGTAAAGGCACCTACATTCAGCAAGAGAATGCTTCTCCTCACAGGTTTCACCCACGTACGGAAGGGCGAGGGAACCCAGCCCGGACAAGGTAACTTAAGGGTTTCGAGCCTATGGTCCAGAGGTCGACAACTTTGAGCCCTTTGGGGGGGGGGGGGCTTTAGAGCGTTTAGATAAAATCGGGCTTTCACTAAATCGGGCCTGGCTTAAAGGGAACGTCTGAAGTCCTGGCAGCCAGCTAAGCCTGTGATGAGCCAGGTGGCGTTCTTCTTGCAATCATCGAAGGCGTTGCAGCTCTCTTGATGCGGCGGCAGCCTTGTCGGTTCAATTAAGAAGCCTGAATAATAGACCCCTCCAATTTTGTTCAGGCCGCGTACTTTAATCGCAAAATTGACTGTTCCTTGCTTGACACCAACAGTCCCGGTAAATATCTGAACTGTGATTCGGGTGCATACTAGATTATCTTAGATAGTGAATGGGGGAGCTTTACACTTAGCTCTATCTTTTACAGTTGGAACTTCTTGGGGCCCCGTTGTTGAAGAAGAGAGTTATAGACATTTTGGGTCGCGCTCCTCAAGGCTGCGAAGCCCTGAAACCTGAACCGCGCCGCTTTGCCACCTTCCCGCACCCTCAGCCCCCCACCCGCACACAAAAGCAAAGAAACAGCGACCTCCTGGTTCAAGTTCCAAAACAAGCGCATTGCAATGCAACAACAACGCGAACCCCCAAACCCTCAAAACCATAATAGCCCCCACGTCCCAAACACAACACCCTACAAAGCCCGTAACACCCTCCTAAACCCTAAACCCTCTAGGTTCCCAGTAGTACCATTTTGCCCTTTTGTCTTTTGTGTGCTGCCTCATAGAAATTCAATAGCAGAGAAAAGGGTACCCTGGTTCTGATGGGGACACTGGGCAGCCTAGCCAGGCCTCAAACACCCAAACCCTTCAACCCTAAACCCCCTGGCCCTTTGCCCTAGAATCCCTAAAAACCTAACACCCCGACGCCGGTGAACCCCTACCTTTTGCCGAAAAGACCTGCCGCTTTAAGGAACTATATATAGAAACCATGACAAGGAACCCTAAACCCTTATGCCCTTGTAGTACGCCTTATGGAACCCTAAAAAACGCCCCCTAAAAAGGAACCCTAAACCCCCAAAACACTACTTAACCCTAAACTCTATACCCTAAACCCCTAAACCCCTAAACCACTAAACCCCTAAAGCCCCTAAACCCTTGTAGTAGCCCGGAACCCTTTATAAGACCCCTTTAAAGGAACCCTAAGCCCCTAAAGCCCCAAACCCTACAGATCCCCTATCGAACCCTTTAAGGAACCCTGTAATTTTGAGAAGCCCTTTAACGAACCCTAAAACCCTAGAAGGAACGAGTCTATAATAGGGCTACTAGAAAGGACCTAATATATCTATGTTATGAAGTGGGTGCCGTACCCAACCTAAACCCCCTAAAACCCCCTAACAAGTCTTCTCTGAGGTCCCTGTCGAAGACCCCAAGAGAGCAGGCCATCGAAGCGATGGAGCAGGAAAGGCAGATGAAGGACACCGCACCCAACCCCCTGAACGAATCTCGAGGTTTAGAGGTTTAGGGTTTAGGGTGTAGGCGTTCAGGGGTTTGGGGTTGAGGGTCCTTTCTTTTCGCGTTTCGGTTTTTGGGGTATAGTATTGTGTACTATAACCGTAATAAGGAACCCCCAATGTAGTATAGGTGGTTATAATTTAACCCTATGTTACATTCCGCACGGCGTCTGGGACTTTTAGGTAGTCTACGAGGGTTCGTATGGGCTGTAGGGGCTCAGGTTCAGGTTCGGGTGTAGGATTGTTCCCACGGCCGTAGATATTTGGATGTTATCCAAAATACTTCAATAAGACACGGGTCTTAGGGACACGGCCATAGATGTTTTGGCATGTTGTCCAAAATACTCAGTAAAACTAAAGGACACACCTGCAAAAGTTGCTGCAGGGGCGTAGGGCTTAGGGTTTTGGGTTCAGGCTTTCCGGATGGCCTAATCAATTTCGTTACTCGTTAGCTCTAGCCCTAGACGTTCGTCCCGGAAACCCCTTGGCGCAAAGCAGCGAAAGCGCTGGACAGCCCCACGCATCCACGCGAATTGCTTGTGGCAGCAACCACCTTTGATCTTCGTCATGAGCACAACATCATCATAACGATCGCTGAACTGTAGCATTACCGCCAGTAAGTAGTTGCTAGGAGTGACACTCATCCCCATCGCCGTTACTGTAATGCTCAACTTGCAACCTCCCGAAGAGCATTCCCAAAGTCTTTGATCTTGAATTGTCGCTTGAATCATGCCCCCTAAAACCCCTTATAGAGCCCTTCTAGTTCCCTTTAAAGGAGCCCTAAAACCCGAGTAACGCAAGTAGTTCCCTTTCTTGGGACCACACAGAGCCGAAGATCGTGACAGCTCCAGGAGAATCCGAATGGTCCATTTCCGACATGGTTGCGAAACCCAATGAGCCCACAGCCGCAAGCCCCCTAGAGCAACGCGGCTTCTATGCGCCAAAGTTCTAGACTGTAGGGCACTCGTTTGGCTTGAAATTTGGGAGGATATTTGCAATCAGGATGGCGTGGAAAGCTACCGAATTACAACACATGCACGTGCACATACGTCAATGTTTGCATAGACGCATGCTGCATAATGCTTGTGTAAAGTAAGTAGAAAACAGAAACAGATGGAACAGAGTACAGTGTATGTATGCACGCATGCATGTATGTATGTACGCATTATGTCTGTGCATGTGTATGTGTATGTGTATTTGTATGTATGTGCATCTGGAGTTTTATTGTATGTACATGTGTATTTATATGTATTTGTATACATATATGTATATGTCCATGTATATGTGCATGTACATGTATGTATGTGTAGATGCAACTGTGCATGTAAATGTATATGTGTAAGTAGTTTAGGTTTATGCATTGGAAGACTTCGTTATTTGGACAGATCCCAGGCATACAAGGGACACAAAGGAATGCATGGCCGTGCCCGAGCGAGTTTAGGGTTCAGTGTTCATCTAATCAGAATCTAATCCGTTGCACCCCGGAAGCACTTTGTTCCCGGAATGTGCGGGAAGACATTCAGCTTTAACGAACGGCGTTCCCCCGACTTCTCTTAAACACACACACACACACACACCCTTTCCAAAGCCCAATCTAGCTTTGAAATTGAGGGTTTAGGTTGTATAGACGAAGTGGGAGGCGTTTGCCGTAAGCCTTAGGCAGGCACAGCTTTCTTGCTTCTTGGAGCCGCGTTGCAGCGCGAAGTGGGCGGCTCTAGTCCAAGAAATGCCCTCGTTGTAGGGGTAGCTAGGGTCCCGTCCTAGGTCGAACGAGGTACTGTACCCCACCCTCGATGTGCGCCCCATGCTCGTTTTCACAACTACTACATAGCCACGTATGCCGAACCCCTCACCCCCTCACTACTCTCGGGCATTTCATCACGTGAGCGCTTGCAAACCTCCGAAGGGTTTGAGTTTGAACTTTCTCAGAAAAGCCATGCTGGATCAGGGTTGAGCAACTGCGCATGTACGATAACTTCCCCATCATCATGGAGGTTTGTTGGATTTGCCACACGCTCCACCGGACCGGGCAAGACCGCCCCCCAGGAGCGCCAATCTGCGAAGCGACACAGAAAAAAAGGTCCAAAGCTTTTCATACCAAAGTGTCTGTGTGTGTATATATATATATATACATATACATATACATATACATATAGGGGGCGCCGGCGTGGCGGAGGTGTGAGGCCTTATCGTGTCAAAGCTTGAGTTCGGGATGTGGGGGGCGAAGGGTGCAGGGCTTGGTGCTGAGTAGCGCCCATACTTTGACCCTAAGCCCTAAAGCCTGAACGGCCGGTTTCGAGTTTGAAGCACAGGAGTGCTTTGGAATCAAAGTCTCAAGGCCGGGTTTGGACCGGTGAGGTCACAAGACCGACCCTTTCAAGGATACCGCGTAAGAACTCTAAGGCTTTTTCTAGCTTGGAGTCCACGCCCTAGACATTTTGGCATTTTGTCGTTCGAGAGTGCTCAGCTGTCTGGCCTGAAACAGCTTTCTTAAGAATAACCTCTACTATTTTGGGGGATTCCATATTAAAATAAGTATAGTAGAATGGGCCCCCAAAACCCTATTCTAATTATCAAGGCTCCTATATTCTTGTGCATCCTCGGTTTGTTCTTGCTGTGGCGCTTTTTGTGAGAGTTTTACGGCCGAACCGCGGCAGAAAGCTCTGCCCAGAGCTGTAGCCGTCTCAGCTCAGAAATCACCCAGGGGTGCGCTCCAAGAGGCCGGGACAGTGCTTTCAAACCGGTACTTTGGGGCGCTTTGAGTTCGTAGGGATAAGAGGATGATTAGACCGGAAAAAGGTCCTTGTTGGTTTTTTGAACAAGCCCCGATACAGAATTTTTTGGGGTTTCCTGATTATTATTATAGTATATTGGACTCAAAACCCTATTCTAATCATGAAGGCCCCTATATATTCTACATGCCTAAACCCTCACATCCGTGGCATCCTGATCCCGTACGTGACTCTTACTTCCAGAACTTTAGTAATCTGAACCCCGAATCCCTAAGCTTGCCCAAAACTAAACCCTAGATCATTCTGCATCACAAACCCCCAGAAGTTGCAAAAATAAAGCACCAAAATTCCTGAACCCTTTAAACTATAGCCGCCTTAGGAACTATTTTGTTCATATAAAACCCAAGAGAATATTTACCCTTTGATTCTAATTACGGCTCTAAGGGGGTATAGTAAATCTCAAAGGCAGTGCCTGGCGCCCTGTTGGAGCTGCCCCAATCATGGCAGACAATCGAAGGACGCTTGGGGGGTTGGGTTCCGGGCTTCAGGGGTTTTTTCAGGGTTTAGGCGTTATAGGTGTTAGTTGCATAAGAGTTTGGAGAAGGAGGGTTTCGGATTGATGGCGGATTCAAGAGATTTTGTTTTGGTGCTTTTGCACGTGTCGGACTTTACTGGAGCGTTTAGGTTTTAGGGCTTGTTAAATGGAATATGGTTTCAGGGTAGGATACCTTATAATTTACCATAAAGGGTTTAGGATAATCATATTCCAACTTTCCGGCTGTTACTGTAAGACCATGTTCGCTCTGACTCCTTGTGGATGCTTACTCAATCTATCCGAATGCGCTTGCTTGGGTTCCTGCGGGGTTACAGAACGTAGCCTCGGAGTGTTTCAATATATTCAGAAATAGGCTGCCGGATAGATGCAGCGAATTGATCTTTCCTAGATGGTTTCAGTGAGCAAACTGAGCCGAGGCCCCTGCGCGGGCGTTCCCTGTCGAAGTACCAGCAAAAATCCGCTATAGACTGAGACATGGATTGAATCGCGATATTGTGCAGTTATTGTGCCGTTTTGCTACAGCATGGCAACACACACGCACACGCGCACACACACACACACACGCGCACACACACACACACTTACTTATCAAACTCGGACCACATGAAGTGCACGGCATGACCCTAAACTAGAAGAAACCTCTCGAGTGTTTTCCGCTTCCGGCCACCGGCATTCTACTGATATAGCCTGGCAGTTCCTTGCGATTCGGAGTCCCCGGCAGTGCTGCTTTCCTCTATCGCTTCGGGTTGGGAGTTTCCTGACAGTCTCAAAGTCGCCACTATTAAGTTTTGAAAACTGCAGTCAACGATGTTAGCACTCGTGTATGCCCCATCTCTTGTCGGGCGACGGCTTGGAGAAGAGACGGGAATGCACTAAATCACAGACGTCAGCTTTTAGGAATCCCCAAGTCTGCTGCGCATTGAGTGGAACTTGAGTTAGGGTTTGGGTTTAGGGATTTGGATTTAGATTGAGGGTTTAGGAACTTAAGTGAGGATTTGGGTAGATACTCCATGTAAATCCTGCACTTCAGGCATATGACCTGTAACCTTACCGGACGGTGCAAGTAGGGTTCGCGGGTGCGAGGGCTTTGGGGCCAAGGGTTTACACAAGCGAGAAACCACGCTTAAAGCCGTCTTATTCTTGATGTTCACCACCATTCAAGCTTTAGACTTGAATCAAGACTATTGCCCAAGATTACTTCTAGTTTTGTTCCATCACCCTTCAGGGATTTTAAGAGTTTCCTCAGAGGAACGATGCTGGAGGAAACGATAAAACCACCGAGGCTGGCTCGGTGCAAGTTGCTGTGGTGATTTAAGACTCTTAGAGCTTCAGGGATCTTTCGGGCTTCAGGGATCTTAGGGATCTTTACTTACCTTTGGTTAGTAGAGAATGGAGGATTGGGTATATTTATAACTACTATTACTACCATTCTTCCATTCCTTTCTAACCAAAGGTAAGTTTAGGGCTTGAAGGCCGAGCTCTCTGCAGCACATCCCGAAGCCCGACATGTAGGTCCCGGCTCCCGAAATCTCTGAGCACTCTGAAGAGATCGTAGCAATTAGGGAGCATATCCCCTTATACTCCCTGTTTCCTGATACTATACTTTACCCCCCAAAAAAGCTGGTGGACGAGTAAATATGCACGAATATTCCACCTCATAAGGGTATAAGTGTCTTTATACCATTCTTCTTTGATTGGTCTCAATCAAGCAGACCAGATGCTGCTGCTCCCACCTACTACCGTTGCTGCTATTACTTCTTCTACTACTTCTACTTCCTCCAGCAACGACGACAACGACGGACTGCTACCCGCAATGCTCTCAACGACATCATCAACACCTGGACCCCAAAGGTATTTAGAACAATAGCCTTTTATAGGCATTGGGCCACCATTTTGCTTACTTTGAGGAGTTTAGGCACCCTTCAAGGCTAGGTAGCTCCCTCACAGAAGCTGCAACTTCCACTTGCACCAAAGTCTGACCAAAAGCGGTACTGCGACTGGTCCTCGCAGGAAGCACGGGAACAAATAATGGGAAGCCTCCCGCGGGCCTTTATTATTTGTTTTTTCGCGCCCCCCCCCCCCCCCTCGGCCAGTATTATTATTATTTTGCTGTTCTTCTTTCAAGAGAACACGAAAATAATAATAATAATAATAATGCTCCTGTGGGCGGGGGGGGGGGTCCTTCTCCTTGCTTGCCCCATCCCTAACTCGGTCCTCGTGCTCAATCTCATGACCGCTGTCGTGGAGATTGTGCGAATACCGTGGCTTTTGCCTGAGCAAAACGAGGCCCAACCCTAGAGCCTTCAACTCTTCAAGCTCGGAAGAAACAAGCTAACACCCCAACACCCAAACCTGAAAGGCCCTCAGAACTAAAGCCTGAAGAAGTCCCAATCCTCATGGAACGCTAAGAACCCGTATTGAGCCCTGTTAACGAACCCTGAAGGAACCCTGCATTGCCCTGAAGTCCAAAACTCTGAAAGAACCCGAAAGAACCTTCTTCAAGCGACGCCTGCAGTCCCGAAAAAACCCAAACTCCTGCATGATTCTCTTAACCAGGCAAAAACCGTAAGGTTCTAGACCCTAAACTTCCCCAAAACCATAATAGAACCCTGTTTAGAACCTTCAGAACCCC